CAGATGAAACAGAACTAGAAGCAGATTTATTTTTCTTTATGAATATTTGACAAATCACTCCCCTTTCAAACTGTATTCTTCTTTATTAATAACAACTTTTGTTTACAGTCCTATAGTATTTTATACCTGTTTACTTTATTCTCTTGTTCTCTTGTCAACTATAATGATCATATAAAGATGTGCCTTTACCTCACTGGTTGTAGAAAAAGCTTCTTATATTCGTTAGCATAGCTAGCTAACCAGATGCTAATAACAACAAAGTTATTGACTGTATGATCAGTATGACAGATGAACAGATCGCCACATGGGCTTTCAACTAAAGACACAGCCACGCAGAAACTGCGGCATGTGTACGGCTCCTTATGGGTACTGCAATTTGTGAAGTGCTGGAGCGGCGTTCCGGTGCTCTCCGTCAGAACTGCCCCTGTCAGACGAGACATATACCACGTGATGACACGTTAGGCTCGTGTTGTGTTCAAGGACCCTGACATTGGCCAGGAAAAACAGGCACTCGCGTGTTTAATTTTTTTGCAGTCTAGATTTCTTACATTTTTTTATTTTTTGTGTCTGTTTATAAATTACCTCGAGGGCCGTACCAAATTGTCTCGCGGGCCGTATACGGCCCGGGGGCCGGAGGTTCCCCACCCCTGCACTAGAGGCACAAAATGCACTTATGAAACCTGCAAATGTGCATGATATGTCCTCTTTTAAAGAGAAAGTCCCTGAATTAGCAATTTTTCTGACCATTTAACATGACTTATTTTGAGCTAAGGAGTCTTGAGGAATTATTTCCGGGTGTAGACATCCATTTCCTGTCTGTATCCGATGATTGACAGCCAGCACAGTGTAATTTAATGCACACACTGGTATGGAAAAACACACAGACACTGACAATAACCACGTTAAGGCTTGGTGTTTATTGAGATGGAACATCATGTCTGTCCAAATGAGTTTGTATACTGTATGGGAGTGAACAGAAGCAAATGACTCCTGTAAAGGAAGGAAGATCTCTTAGAATATTATACCATATATTGATAAACACATTTGGAAATATTGAATTTATTTGTCCTGAATTATGATAGGATATTTAACGCAGATTACATTTTAAATTTCAAAACAATC